TTGTATCTCCAGCTGCTTATTGGACATCTCAAACTGGGTGTCCTTGCAGACGTCTTAAACTCAACATATCGAAAACTGCTCTTGTCTTTCTCCAAAAACCTTCTCCCCACCCCCACTTCTGAATTTCCTTATTACTGTTGAGATCGCCACTCTCCTCCCTGTCACTCAGGCTCTCAACCTAAGTTTCATCTCTCTACACCTCATTCTCTTTTGCCCTGTCATATCCAGTCTTCTGGGAAGTCTGGTCAATTTTACCTTGGAAACTTCCCTGTTTATGTGCTACCATCTCCCCACTGACACTGCCCCCACCTGGTGCAGGGTCTTATCACCTCACACCTACACTGATTTCAGCCTGTTGATCAGTCTCCCTGCCTCATACCTGTCTCCATCACAATCCATCCTCCTTTCAGCTGTCAAATTAATCTTCCTCAAGTACAGATTTGATTATGTCATACACATCTGCATTCAGTAAGCCCCTGTGCCCTGGAGGGGCACCTCCAGGATTAAATATAAAACCAAAGAGAGTTTAAAATCCAAAGCCCTCATAACCTCACCCTCTTCAGCCTTTCCAGTCTTCTTATAGTCTACTTATCGCCACATACTTTGGGGTCCAGTGTGGCTGCTCACACAAGATGCTCCATCTCTTGACTCTGTGCGTTTTTACTGGCTGTCCTCCATGCCTGGAATTCTCTCCTTCTTCTTTACCACCTCCTGGCTTCCCTTGTTTCCTGCAGATCCTAGTGAAAATCCCGCCTTAATGCCTTTATTCTAGTGATGATGTCTAATTTACTCTTTATGTTCTTCAGTTGTTCCAGTCATGTCTGACTCTTGGTCACCGCATTTGGGGTTTTCTTGCTAAAGGTACTGGAGTGGTTTGCCATTTCTTTCTGCGGCTCATTTTGCAGATGAGGCAACTGAGGTAAATGGGGTGAAGTGACTTGCCCAAGGTCACACAGCCAGTAAGTGTTTGAGGTTGGATTTGAACTCGGGTCTTCCTGACTCCTGACCCAGTGCTCTATCCACTGTCTCCAGCTTCCGCACTGCCTCTGCTATACCACACTGAAGTTTTGTCTTCCTCATTCATGTAAATTCCGAAGGGCAGGGACTATTTCATATTTGTCTTTCTATCCAAAATTCTTAGCACAGTACCTGGCACATCATAAGTGCTCACTAAATGTTTGTTGATTGTTTTATGGGGAACAAGGACAAAAGCTCTTAGTGGAATGATGGTTAAATGGTCAGTGAGTATTGTCAGTAGCAAGATAAGAATTACCTTGTATTTTGTTGTTGTTGTTCAGTTGTGTCTGACTCTTCATGACCCCTTTTTGGGGTTTTCTTGGCAAAGATACTGGAGTGGTTTGCCATTTCCTTCTCCAGCTCATTTTGAGATGAGGTAACTGAGGCACACTGGGTTAAGTGACCTGCCCAAGGTCACACAGCTAGTATCTGAGGCCAGATTTCAACTTAGATCTTCTCAACTCCAAGCCTGGTGCTCTATGCACTGAGCCACCTAGCTGCCCACCTTATATGTAACTAAACTTTATTTATTTTGTATTTATCCTATTTATGTATCTTATCTGTTCTATATATACTTATATATGTTGTTTCCCATAACACCAGTCCTGGATAGTAGAGGTGGTTTTATTTTTTATCTCTGTTTGACTAACACCTCGTAGGGTGCCTGGTGCAGAGTTTTTGATTGATTTATTCATTGATGAATTCCAATAGAATAACAATCCTTAAGGCTGATGACTGTTACGTTTTTGTCTCCGTGTCCACCCTAGTGCTCACCATGTAGTAGGCCCTTCATAAATGCTTTTTGATTGAATCCGTGATGAAGGCCAAGGAGCATGGATGAAGTTTGAGAACTCTGGAGGAGTATAAGTAGGGGCTGTGGGCCATGTGGAGGAACTGTGATGCTCCATGGTTCTCCTCCCCTTGGTTCTTTCCTACTTTCTTTTCTTTCCCTTGGCCAGGGTAGAATGAGAAACAAAGGCAAGGGTGAGGGCAGGGGAACAGGCTTCCCCTTCCTTTACTCTTACCACCAGCTCATCCTACCACTACAGCTTCTACAGCCCAGAGCAGAGTAGGACCAGGGCATAGGGAAGAGTGATGGCAACAGGCAATATGGTGGCCAGGGTGGCAGCCAGGGTCTAAAGGATCCAAGAAGAAGGATGAAAGTTGTTGAGAAGCTTGCATTTGGAGGGATAGGGAAGCTCCCAGGGTGCTTGTATGTAAGGGACATCTGTTATTTGGGAACTGCCAGATGCTTAGAGACCTTTAGCCCTGGCCTCCCAGAGACCTAGAAGAATTTGGCTTTATCCTTAGTCACCAAATTGGATTTTGTATTGAGGGAACAAAATCTCAGCCCTTCATTTTTTCATGCCAAGGGAAGTTCAAAGGTGATTCGGGCACCCGGCTCAGCTTGTCATGAGAGGATGGTAGCACGGGCTGTTTAAATTGCATTCCCTTTGGATGCAGTCCTCACAAATGCCAGAAGAAAAAGGAAACTATTTCCCTAATCTCCTTTCTCCCGAGTGAATCAGACAATAGTCACATTACATTTTTTCCAGCTTGCTCCTTCACAATAGTCAACCCTTTGTTTGGAATATTAACAAGGGCCAGTGCTGAAATAGTTTGATTGAAATTCGGTCAGTGACTTAGCACAGTGCCTAGCACACAGTAAGCATTTCATAAATGCTCGTTGCCTTTCCTGTTACACAAATTCACTAGAGCAGTGAAATTAACAGAAGAGTTCTGTGTGTCCTTCCAAAAAGGGCATGTTTTCTATATTTATAATTTAAAAAGAGCTCTTTCCAGCATGTACACAAAGCAAGGCACTCTTAGCGAGTTTTTTTGAACTGGATTCCTCTCCTCACCCCTTACTTAGCAAGCAAGCATCAGGGCATAGAGTTTTTCCCTCCTGGGGGTAGAAGAAGTAAGAGGAGACATCATAAAGAGCTTTATCTTCACCAGAGACGGGAGTAGACTTAGCTAGATCATGTTTTACACTGACCATCCCACGTACTGTAATTTGAACTTTGAAAATTGTGGTATGGAATCTGTCTTCAAAGGTAGACTTTCTTCTTTTTGTTTAAATTTTTTTTTAATTAATTCTGAAGAACATGAGCTTTTCCACACATAGTTGATTTCAATCAGAAATATCTCCCACCTTTTCAAGGGTCCTTTATTTATTTATGAGTCCATATTATTTTTTTTGTTTTTTTAGGCAATTGGGGTTAAGTGACTTACTTGCCCAGGGTCACACAGCTAGTAAGTGTCAAGTGTTTGCTCTGAGGCAGAATTTGAACTCAGGTCCTCCTGACTTAAACTGTGCCACCTAGCTACCCCGAGTCCATATTATTTTTGCCTGTTTTAATTGGTAGTTTCTGAGTTGGATAAGTCAAAGATAAATTGAAAATGTTTTTTTTTTAATTTCGGTTTTGATAATTAGCATTCCTAAAACTGAAGGGAACAACAGAGAACAGGTATAAACCTCCTTCCTTAACAGATCTGGGAACTCTGAGCCTGAGGGAGAGGAAGTCACTTAAGCCAAGGGCACGCACCTATTTAGTGGCAGAGATGGATCTTGAACCTAGATCTGCTAAAGCCTCCTGGGTTAGCGTTCTTTCCACAACACTGGGCTGTATCTACATTCTGTGTTGTGTGATAGCAATCTGATGTTTTGTTTGGTCGTTGTGTAGACACAGCATTAGAGTCAGAAAGACCAGTGTTTGGGGACTTTCCCTGACACATACTAGCTGTGTGACCCTAGGCAAGTCACTTAACCTATTAGTGACTTGGAAGTACCATAAAACTGTTAGCTACAAACACTATTTCATTATGCTTTAGTAGAGGAGTTTTCACAGTGGACGTTCCTTCCTTACTCCAGCAACTTGCAAATCTATCTTCCTCCTCCCTGCCAAAAAAGCATGTGTGTGCATCTCTATAACTGATTTATCTCCAGCCATACATATTTGTGTTTTTAATGTAAAATTTTAAAATATTACTAACCAAAGTTGTACTCCATAATTGACTTTTTTTAAAACCAAAAAAAGTAAAGATGCCGTATTATCCAAGGTCTGTACAAAGAAAATGATTGGTACAGAATCTCTAAGAGGGTCCATGGAACACAAGTAAGTGAATTGATTTCAGGCAGGTAGACCTTGCATTCAAAGATGAAATGTCCTTTGCCAGAGAAAAACCAAAAAGTGATGTCATTTCAGACTCTTTGTGACCTCATTTGGGGTTTTCTTGGCAAAGATCCTGGAGTGGTTTGCCATTTCCTTCTCCAGCTCATTTTACAGATGAAAAATTTGAGGCAAACAGGGTTAATGGACTTGCCCAGGATCATACTACTTGTGAATGTCTGAGGCCAGATTTGAACTCAGGAAGATGAGTCTTCCTGACTTCAGACCAGACACACTCTATGCACTATGGTGCCACCTAACTGCCCCTTTCTAGCCAGTGATAGGAGTCCTCTATTAGTAGAGATAAGAAAGAATATTTCCTGAAGATTTCATCTAGGTGGGACTAGTGGTCTCTCTTTCCATATCTCTGCTTCTCCAGCTCTGTGGTCCATACAGTCAGCTTACTTGGCCCTCTTCCTCATTTTTCTCCTCTTGAATTCTGGCCTGCATACTCACTTCCTGGAATTTTCATAGACTTTTGCTTACTGCAATAAAAACAGATAGTTTCCGAATCAGAATAAGACTAAAAAACACTCTGCCATTAGACAGTAAGCTCCATGAAAACAGGGACTGTCTTTTACCTTTCTCTGTATCCTCAGCACTCAGCATATTGGCACACAGTAGGTGCTTAGTAAGTGTTTATTCACTGAACTGTAAGCTCCTTGCATGTATAGATTATTTAATTGTATATCTTTGTATTCCCAGTTCCTAGCACATAGTAGGCACTTAATAATGGTTAATTGACTGATTTATCTATGCTTTAATTTAGATGCTGAAATTCACAACCATCCATTTTTTTTCCTTCCACAGTGTTTTCTTCTCTAAGCCTTGGCCTGCTCCCTGAGCGATCAGCTACTCTGATGGTATATGAAGATGTCGTCCAGATAGTCTCAGGATTTCAAGGTACGTTTAGTATTTTAAAGTGGACAAAGGCAACTTGCAAATTCACTTACCTCAGCCTTGCCAGCGGCCAAGTCATAAAGTGTCTGTTAGCAGGAAACATCACTAGCCAGAAAGGATATGTTAGATCATTGGTAGATCGTTAGTTGGCCTTGAATGGATTTCTTTTAGGCCCAGCTGGTTTTTCTGGGGCCTGGGGACTTCTGCTGACTGGCCTGCCTGCTTAAAGTATATCTCAGTGTGAAAGGTCCTCTCATTTAGGCGTGGAGCTCTTATTATTGCTTATTTTTATTGCTTATGTCATTCACCATCCTACTTTCTGTTAATTATATCCAGTTTATCATGTTTTTATTGTTTTTCAGTCACTTCAGTTACGTCCGACTCTTTGTGACCCTATTTGGGGTTTTCTTGGCAAAGATACTGGAGTGGTTCGCCACACACACAAATGCATATTGACAATCTCTTGTTTTGTTTGTAGGTGTTTGCATGTTTTTCCCCCTATTAGACTGTGAGCTCCTTGAGGGCAAGGATGTTTTTATTGACTTTCTTTGTGTCCCTAGTATTTAGCTAGTGCCTGGCACCTAGTAGGTACTTTATAAATGCTTGTTGACTGACTGGCAGCACTCTTCTTTCAGCCTTCAGTAATAAACACTATTTCCATTAGTTTCAGAACCTTTTTGACTAAACAATAGTGTCTGCAAATGTTTAGGTTATCTTTTTAGTTTCTAGTTTTCCATACAGAGCTTAATTGTCTTATCCTTGGTTGTGACAGGAAATCCTCACCAAAGGTGGGAGGAGTGAGCACATTTCTGGGTAAAGGATACCTCTGATCTGAATGGAGAGTTTTACTTCATATGTACCTCATAAACTGAGAATCATACTTTCTGACTCCTAATTTTCAGTCAGAAGGCAGTCTGTTTTATATCACATTCACCAATGTTGTTATTATTATTATTTTGGCCATGATTTCTGTTATTTTATACAGAAAACATCTGGATGTGGGGCTATGCCCCTTACAAATGGGATAGTGATTTCTACCCCAAATCTTTGTTATCACAGAATGGTGGAGTCTCAGAGCTGGAAGGGACCTCAGAGGCTGCTAAGTATAGCCCCCACTTAGCCCTTTACAACAAATGATAAAAGGTCATCAAAGCTTGGCTTGAAGACCTCCAATGAAAGAGCGTCTGCTCGCCTCTAAGGCAGCCCATTCCACTTTGACAGAAATTAGTTATTCAAAAATGTTTCCTAAATTTGTGTTTTTCACAACTTCCACCTCATTGCTCCTGGTTCTATTCAATAGGACAGGAATTCTTACCCTAGGATACTTTAAAACATGGATGGATGGATGGATGGATGGATAGGTAGATAGATAGATAGCTGCCTTCCAGTGTAATTGATCTCCTTTATAATCCTTTGTATTTTATATCATGTTTTTAAAAACATTATTCTGAGAAGGGTTAACCAGCTGCCATGGGGTCCATGACCCAAAAAAAGATTAAGTCCTGCTCTAGAATGGAGTAGAAAAGTTTGTTAGTCCTTCCATGTGACAGCCCTCCAAACACTGCCTGATAGTAATCCTAAGGATGAGCATGAGAGGAAATGATTGAGGGGAGAAGCTTCTGGAGAAGGGAGGAGGCCTTGGATCATCATCATCACAGGTACAGGGGTTAGAGCTTCGGCAGTGAGAAGCTCTACTTTTTCTCAGGAGCAAACAGAGAGGAAAAGGATAAAAGATAGGGTAAAGACATGTGGGTATTCTGAGGTATGGCATGAATGAGAAAAGGGAATGTGGTAGGATAGTGGGTGAAGACCTCAGCTACTGAGAGGGAGGGGTTGGGGGTTTGAGGAAAGGAGAATTTTGAAACTGGCTTTATCCACTATACCTCAGTGCCCCACATCTGCTATTTTTTATTCCTCATCAGCAGAGGTAGTTAATCTAGGCAACAGGTGGCTCAGTGGATAGATTGCTAGACCTGGACTCAGGGAGACCTGCGTCCAAATCCAGCCTCAGACACTCACTAGCTGTGTGACCCTGGACAAGTCATTTAACTCTGTTTGCCTCATCTGTAAAATGGGGATAATAAAGCACCTGCCTCCTAGGGTTGTTGTGAAAGATAAAAGATAATATTTGTAAATCACTTTGCAAATCTTAAAGTGTTACATGAATAACAGCTATTATTATTATTTTTGTTGTTATTTGGGCCCATTAACAAGAACTCGTCTAGATGCTCTCTTACTATGTCCTGTTTATCTTGGGCATTGACTCTCAGTGAACCATTTTTGTCCTTTCCTATCCAGCACAAAGATAATAATTATTATTATAATAATAACTAATAATAATAATTACTAACACTTATATAGCACTTCTACATGCCAGGCACTATGCTGTGTGCTTTACAATTACTATCTCATTCGATCCCCACAACAATCCTAGGAGGTAGGTGCTATTATTATCCCCATTTTACAGATGAGGAAACTGAGGCAAAGAGGATTAAGTGACTTGCCCAGGGTCACACAGCTAGGAAGTGCCTGAGGTCAGGCACTGGCCTCCTGACTCTGGGCACTCTATCCACTGCGCCTTCTAGATCATTTTCCTTGGCACAGAAACTGGAAGCAAAGAAACAGTTGGGCAGCATTGCTTTTTCACTGTCATTGGTTATCATGATCCCATGCACCTCAAACAGCAGCCCTGACCCTTCTTTGACACTCCTTTTTTCTCCAGTATAGTTAAAAACAACAGTGGTAACGTTTTCATGGTCCCTGGATTTCCTAACTCGGCTTGGTTCATGCTGAACATTCTTACTCCCCATACTGTCCTCACAGGACAATGCCAGGCTTTGGTATCCATTCACCATCACCTGCCTTTGCTTCCATCTTGTGTACATCTCCTTTCTAGTCTCAGTTGGAGAGTGAGTTGCCTGCTCATCTTCATGTCTCTCTCTCTAGACAATTCTTTTCCTCCTCATCCACATTTCCCTTGACAGCTTCCTACCCCTCATGGCCTGCTTTTTAGGCTGTAGAGTCCTATCTGTTTTTCTCTAAATATTTTAGAATCTGATTTTCCCAAATCTAGTCTGTAAATTCAGACTATGTCTAGCTTTTTCTCTCCTCAGATTCTAAGATGATGCAATCACTCCCGCAGAGTTCCCATTTTTTTCACCTCAGGTACCATTCATCTACCTTTCAAAGCGTTAGCAAATCAGGAAATTGTTACCTGGAGTATTTTCGGCAGAGAGAAGACTCCAGCGGATGTCCAGCTAATTGAAGGCCCCTTCCCCTGCCCACCCCATCATTGCTATCTCGTGCCTTCAGGCCTTCCTCTTTGTCTGCATTTATCTTCACCCTAACATTCTCCACCATACTTCCCCCCTCTGGTTCCTAGATTTCCTCTCAGGAATGGCTTCTTAATATACAGTGCAACCCTGCCCCCTCCTTTAATTCATCTGTCTCTTTTGAGGAAGGCATACCTTTTCAGAGCTGGACTCATTCCAGTCAGGAAGCTCATCCCACTGCATCGGAGTCATGACAATGCCTGTGAGATCCAGGCTGCTTCCTTACTTTGGGATGTACCAGACACATCTCTTTTTACTGGGGCTTTTTCATTTGTGCACTGCTCTCTGACCCCACTGGTTTTGTGGCAGAGGAGTCTCTGGGGAGCGCCAATGTTATTACCACAGGGTAACTACGCATCATGGTGTCTAGCTTGATAGATATATGTCAGTCATTATCTCCCTCCCTTTTCTTTTTCAATTGCAAACTTAATCAAAAGGGCTTTAAAGTCTCTGGGCAAATAACTTTTTGCATGCTCTTGTTAGGTGCATTCCATATCTAGTCATGAGCTTATCATACTTGTATTTTAAGTCATAGTTCATAAATCTGAACCAAAAAACCCTTGCCTTGAAGTAGTGTATATTCTACCTGGGGAAAGCAGTTTGTGCACAGATAAGTAAATTACACACACACACACACACGCACAGGGGTGGGGGGCAAGGTATACATATACATACATACATAAAGTGTACATATATATGTGTATAAATACATGTGTATGCTTTAAGTATATAGGTACATGCATACATTTATGCATGCACGTTGTTGCTTTCCTTCATTTTTGAAGAGGACCAATGACATCATAGGGTGATGTCTTGACTTGTGAGTGAATTGGATTTAAGTGAGGCAGAGTTATGCAAAGTCATCAATATACATGCATGAATACATATATCTATACTTGGTGTACGCACATATATGTGTGCAGGCTTGTATACATTTATACACATATACACATGTATGTGTACATATGCATATGTATATAAATACACACATATAATTTTTTGTGTGTGCAGTAGGAAATTCCAGGTGGGGGGGAGAATGGGTTTGGATGGAGAATCAAGAAGGGCATTGTGGAGGAGGCAGCCCTTCAGCTGAGTCTTCAAAGGGGAACCAGGGATTCCAATTAACATGTTGTTGTTTTATATGTTGTATTATATTTTGTAATACATATTTGTATTTGTAATATATATTATATTTTTACTTATTTTGTTAAACACTTCCCAATTGTATTTTGATCTGCTTCAAGCTTCTGGAGTTTGACACCCCTGATGTACATTCCTGACTTCTCTACCACCCCCCACATTGCTTCCTTTACCTAAAATGCCATCCTTCTTTCTGCTTATCCAAATCTCGGCCATCCTTCAAGTTCCAGATCAAGACCCTTCTTCTCCACAAAGGATTCCTTAGACCTACTAGCTGAAACAATACCTTGATGTTCACAACCAAAGGATCATTGGTTTGGAGCTAGAAGGAAGTTCAGAGGTTATCTAGGAGGGAATGGGAGGAGGAAGAGCATCCCAGGCATGGAGAAATGGAAAGGTCCTTTATGGGGGACAGAGAGTAAGCCTGTTTGGCTAAATCCCAGAGTACATGAAGAAAAGTAATGGGAAATCATCCTGGGAAAGGAGGCTGGAGCCAGATTTTGGAAGACTTGAAATGTCCAACAGAGGAGT